ACCTAAACCCCTACACCCCTAAAACAAAAAAACTAAACCCCTAAACCCTAAAACCTTATAAAAGCCCTAAACCCTAAATCCCCAAACCCTAAACCCCTAAACCCTCTAAACTTCTGAAACCCTAAACCCCTAATATAACAAACCCACTAAACGAGTTGAACCCTAAAAAAAAGTAGACCCCTAAACTCTAAACCTCTTAACTCTTAACCTCTAAATCCCTAAACCCTGAAACCCTACTAAACCCCTAAATCCCTAAACCCCTTAAACCCCTTAAACCCCTAAACCCTACACCCGAGAATAAGTCGAAATACAACTAGATGGGTGTAAATACAGCCAGATGGGCCAAAATACAACTGAAATGTTTAGAAATGGTCTCAGATGGGGGAAAATACAACCAGATGGGTGATAATACAACTGGGGGGTCTTTAAAGGGTCTTTAGGACGTTATTTGAGTAGATGTAAAGGGTCTTTGAGGCTTTATTTGAGATGTAAAAGGTCTTTGGGACGTTATTTGAGTAGATGTAAAGAGTGTTTGGGGCGCTATTTGAGATGTAAAGGGTCTTTGGGGCTTTATTTGAGTAGATGTAAAGTAAAGGGTCTTTGGGGCGTTAAGTATTGCCTACATGCATGTCGCGCCTACATGACCGAAAGTATACAAACACAAATAATCATGTTAAGTATTGCCTACATGCCTGTCGCGCCTACATGACCGAAAGCATACAAACCGAAATAATCACCATAAACATGTTATGTCCTCTTTCGTGCTAGGGCGCAAAGAGAAGGGACGAATCGCAACCACCATTAATTATCCAGCTTTGGTAATGGAACCTTAAGGCTGTGCCATGGTTTTCTGCAGAGCATGTCCAAACTTATAAAGGCACCGGAATAGCCAGTTGTAATTTCTCCTGTTTGGGAGAGCCCACAACTGTGGTTCAGTTGTGTTTTCCCCCATGTGGTTGCATTTTCTCCCGTTTGGTTGTAATTAGACCCTGTCGCCCCTACACCCCTAAACCCCTACACTCCTAAACCCCTTTAAAAATAACAACTAAACCCTTAAACCTCTCTGAAACACTAAAACCTTAAACCCCTTAAACTCCCAACCCCCTAAACCCCTAAACTCCTGCACTCCTAAACCCCTAGCCCCTAAACCCCAAACTAAGCCCTAAACCGCTAAACCCTGCCCCCTGGCTGGAGGCGAGGACTAGCCGGCCGGGTGGCGAGAGATGGCAAGAGGACAGGAGGTGTTGGAGGCTAACAAGTCGCATCATATCCTTTAGATTCCTTCTGTGCAGTCAGAATAGCATCCTCATGTCAGCTATCAGCATCAGTCATGCCACCAGACAAGATTAATCGCGCGACTACAGAATTATTAGTCGCCCGGCTGCAGAGCTGGTCGTGCGTGCACGCTTCCCTTCAATACGCTTACAAACATGCCCTGCAACGCTCCATGCGTATGCGGGCAGAAACCTACTTTTGGCAGTAAGGGCCGGCCAGAAAACACCGAACAACTCTGTTTTTTGTTGCAGAATGCCTTGAAAGCCTCGTTGGCAGCAGCGGCCAGCGGCATGGACCTCGAAAGCATTGCCATCAAGCATTCATCACGCAGTTGCTTTCTCCCTGTTGCGGGAATACCCATGGCACAGGGTGGCTACGAGATCTGCAAACGGACAAGACTTGGTTATTGTTTGCTGGATCCCTATGGGGTTGCTCGTCCATGCCGGCTGTGTCTTCGCACATATGACCTCAACACCGTCATTTGGAACGTCTGACAAACAGCGCTAGTGATGCACCATGATCGCAGCCATCTTCACAAAAATAATCGACCTGTTGATGTTGCAGCGTGCGCATGTCCTGCTGAAACATCTAGCGATACCTCCCCCATTTGTCAGGAAACCTGTACTTGCATGGAGCTTGTCCTTGAAAGCAATGACAAAACCTTTTGCTTGTCCGGTGGTGCCTAGGGCTCCGACTGTCCAACCTTATCACCAAGATCCACGGCTAGTCGCACATCCTGCACCAGAACTCATGCAGCCGCATGGCGAAGCGGATAGCTATCTACATTCTCGCCGCATCTTCCCACCTTCTGCTGGTGCTTCAACGGGAAATTGGGTGCGAAGTCTCCCTCCAGCATCTTGGGACCCTGGAGCAGCCACACCGAACAAGCAACATCTAATCTAGCAATCTGGCAAGCCTGTTAGGCGTCCGCAGTTGTGCTGCATCCTAGCCCCTAATGCCCTTAAAATGTGCTTTTGACCCGCCTTCAAGCCGTACATGGGCGACGCTATCGCGCCCTCCTTGATGACCTTCGGGCAAAAGGGCGGGAGGGATCTTCTGGAAAGCTCTGAAGCCTCTGGCGGGTCAGACCCAGGAATAACCAGCCTCCAGAATGTCCTTTCCCTGAAGCCCGGCTTTCTGCCCAACCTGAAGATCGAGCTGATCCAAGCTGACTGGTTATCCAGCCTCCTTGCCCCTTCGGTCAAGATTAGTTTGTCTTGGCTTGTGCCTGTAATACCTGCCAAGCCTGTAGTTACGTCACCTAGCGATGGTCTCTGGGTCGAGCCTTGATTTCTGGGGTTGACTATCCAGGGCGCTGTCTGGGTTCACTGCATCGGGCATCTGAGGGGCCCAGGATTTCGTGCATAACATCAGCTGTCAGTGGAGAGGTCCTCAGGTGGCGTCAGACGTAGGATGGAGAGTTTGCCGCGGAAACAAGGCTTTCAGCTCGTTCAGCTTAAGATTTAGGACCTTGAGGATTCATGACATCAGCCTTGCTTTGACTTTGAGGGATGTGAAACACCAATGAACACCAAGCAAAAGATAAGCTGCCGGGTTTTGAATAATCTGGCTCTTCTATGAGTTGCAGCTCAAATGGCAAGGCTTGCCGACCACCAAGCTGCCCACGGGCCCTTCGTGCAAACAGATTGGGGCTGCGGCAGCGAGACCCTCAGAAAGGGCAACCATGTTGATCCCCATCACCTGCTACTGTACAGCATTTGCGGCTTCCGTTGCTGCAGGCCCTACCCTTAGATACATCTTGGTGCCCAGCCATGTTGATGACCAACTTCATCCTGGCTCCGCAACCAACCTGCTGATCAGTAAACATGGGCTGCGACTCTTCTTACTGGATGCCTCACCGGCACTGCCTCTCCGAGGAAAAATGTCTTCTTTCCCAGCACATCAAAGCATTGTTGCACCTTCACTTTGTGTTGTGTCCAATATCTCTGATGCGAATGCCAAGGCCTCTTTGTGGAGGGCCGCCTCGCCAGCCGCAAGGATTACAAGCTGGCCTCGATTGGTGTTTGGGCTTCTCCCTTCTTTCACCGTTCGGGAAGGGATCGACTCACCTTGCAGCGCTGGACCTTTGGAGCCGCTAACCGGTGCCTGAGCCATGGTAGAGTCCACAATGGAGCAGAGTCCATGGGAAAGCAGGCCTCAAGGAATCGACCACCCTTGGCTGTGATCGCCTCAGCCTTGGCTAATTACAAGGTCTGCCAGGTAGCAACAGATCTGGCCAGTCAGTCGCGGCCAAACTTCAGCGGCGTACTCAGGTACAGACAATTTCCTTGACACACTCCTCAAGAACACATACAAGGACGTGGGCTCCATGCAAATCTCCCTCGCCACTCTGCAGGATATCCTCGTCCACGGTCGACATGTCGACGAAGCGCTTGCCTTTCGTAATGCCTGCGCTCTGCGCCAGTAACTCTGGCCTGTGCTGTTTCGATCCATCCGCGCTCCTGCCAAAACCCCTTTCTCGCCAAAAACCACAGCTCTCGCTGAGGTTGGATCTGAGGTGCACCTAGGCATGGAAAGGACTCTTGCTGCAAGGCTGCGAGAAAAAGCACTGCAAACAGTCCGACCCCAAGACAGAACAATATCAACAGGGACGTGCTCCCCGCAGGGAGATGCTCGTTACGGCTTTATCCGGGGAAGTCATAACAATATCTGCCTTCCCATTGTAGACACTGTCAACAACCAGGTTTCCGCATGACATACCATATGGTTGGAGTGAAGTTGCCGAAAATCACAACAATAAGCCTGAATCTCAGGGAGTGCACCAATGCTGCAAGCCCGTCGCGGCAACTCGGAAGATTGATTCAGGTAGTAGCTCAAAGTGACAGATGGCTAGCCACAATGGGAACTCAGTTGCTGAAGTGCTAATGGCAGCTTAGTTATTGAAGTGCTCATGGGACCGCAGGCGTTGCGAGAAGAAGCCGAAAGGCATCAAAGTCGGCATTCAGAGGCAAACCCAGGGTTGAAGGCTTCTGTGGCTGAGCGTTGCAAGCGAAGCACTTTTCGGGTTCTTCAGGTTTACACCGATAGGACTTGCCCTTAGGATGTACCCCAAACCAAGCCAGCCATTTCAACCGCCCCACGCTACAGCACAGCATAAGAACCAAGCTTGCGGCGCAAAAGTCACGTCGCAGGTCTCCATGACCTCCTGGGCTGTCTCAGCAACCTGGCAGGAATCTGCTTCGAATATGTGAGTACTGCACCGACCTTTTCACGTCCATGACCGTCGCGGTGGCCTTGGCACCCTTTGCCTCCATGGGAGTACACTTATCTCGAGATCGATTCCTGGCGCGGATCAGCGAATGTCTGGAAGGCAACACAACTTAAAGCCATCTCTCTCAAGCTGGACTTGCCAGGTCGACCAAACCGTGACGGGAAAGCCCGCATCGATCAATCGCCCCCTCGGAGCCACAGTACCAGCCCTAGCTGCGGCTGCTGTGAGATCAAACCAGGCTTAGCACGCCATGGCGGTGCCCATGATCCCCATGCCTGAGTAGGCTATCCAGCAAAGGGGAGGCCTCGCCTTGTCATAGAACACAAGTCTCGGAACCATGCCCAGATATCCTACAGAAGGCTTTTTGTCCATGGCTTCAAAGGCTGGAACTCCGGGCACTCTTGGATGCTTGAGCAAGTGCTCGGCGAAGCGATGAAAGCAAACTTAGCCTGCAAGTGCTTCGCCAGGAGCATGGTGTTCCTTGAAGACATGCCGAGATTGGCTGGGAGCGCGGAGGTAGTTCAAGAGCAAGGTCATCTGCAATGGGGATGCGGAGATCTTGGCATGAATTACATAGTATGGCTTCTGTTCCCATCAGAGCATGCTGGGATGTGTTGGGCATGTCCTTGCAAATAGGTCACTGTGATTCATTGTGACAGGGAGCTGCGAGTTCGGGCAGCTTTTTGTCGAGCAGTCCTTGCGCACGGAATTCGAATCACACGCAGGGGCCGTGAAAGCTGGACACTTGGGCATGCCCCTTTGCAGTCGCTGATGACGTGCTGGCAATAAGCAGTAAGTTCTCACCAAACCCAAGGACCACGTGAAACGAAGCTTGGGTGAGATCCATTTGGCTTGGGCAAGACTTAAGGAAGCATTTGGAATCTTTTGGATTTGAGCACAGACGGCAATTGACTGGCTGTAGGACCCATCGCAGTTGCCCTCTGCACAATGCCTTTCAGAACTCTGCCATAAGGTGAAACCTTGCAGCCAAGACAGGATGTGGCAAGGCACTGGCATGGCACTCTTTGAACGAGCTTGCGGCCTGGTGTTGCCAGGCGACCCTTTGGGCCCATCCCAGCTGAAGTTGCACGAGAAGGAGTCCTCGGCTTTTGAGTCGCAAGGCTGCCTTCACACTGTTGATGCCAGCACCCGCTGTCCCCCGGATGCCTCTAGCAACTCAGAGCACCGCGGACACTTACTTGTCTGGCTGTGCTCCTGTTTTCCTGTCAACAAAGAACAGAACAGCTCGACTCTTGTCCTGTCAAACAATGACAAGCCAGCATGAATTCCTGGGCTTCTTCTGCTTCTTGTTGTAGTTCTTGTTTGCTTTGGTTTTCAGCTCGTCCCGTGTGAACGGCCTCGAAGCGTGAAGCCACTTGAGAAGTTCACTCCGAAAGCCAAAACCAAAGCGGCTGTCACCGCGGGCAATGGCCTCTGGTCGTCTTCATCCTCATCATCTTCGTCATCCGAGTAGTCCTGGGCATGTTGGTTCATTAAACTGCGGCGAACCCTTTGCGAGGTGCATGCTTATAGGGGTCTGTTAAGGTGGGGGGGAGGCCCCCCCAAGTGCTTTTATTGGGGGGTCCCCACCCAGCGAGTGCTCTAAACAGACGTTTTCAAGCTTACCCCCCGCTCCTAGTGGGATCTAGCGGGGGCTTGATTGTAGGAACTCATAGTTGGACATGCGATCGTCTTCTGCATCCAGCAGCAAGGAGCGACACGACTGCGAAGCCTTGCAAAAACGATTCTCCGTAATGTGACCAGCCCCGGACACCTTAGTCTTAATATTTTGCGGGTTCGTGCGTAGCTTGCTCCTGGGTGCTCCTTGGGGGCAGCTACATCACTTGACGCTGCGTCATCGTCTTTTCGGCCAACAACAGCCCTGCTCAGACTGAGATGTGGGTAGATGGAGGGGTCCTACATACATAGGGATCATATATATATATAGATATGCACATATTTATATATATATGCAAATATATATACACATAGAAATATCAAGGGCATACGGGCAAAGACCATTCAAGGATATCACCGGGTCTAAGATCCAGGGTTCTGGGTTTGGGTGCGCCACACCCTCACCCCAAACATTTGCCTGAAACTTAAGACCTAAACCCTCAAAAAACCCTAAACCTTAAGAACCCTAAACCCTAACAACGCCAAAAAGACCTGAACACCCAAAACGCCAAAAAACAAAAAACTTGAAACCCTCTGCCCTAAGAACATTAAACCCTAAGGACCCTACACCCTAAGACCTGAACCCTGAGTACGCTTAAGCCTAAAAACCCTTAACCCCAAGAACCCTAAACCCGAAGAACCCTAAACCTCAAGAACCCTAAACCCTAAAAGCCCTTAACCCTGAAAACCATAGACACCCTAAAAACCTAAACCCTAAAAAAAGTTATACTTTAGGTATAACTGTGGCAGACTGCGTGAGCCGGCCCGCGGGCCACGTCCCGGCTACGATGGAAATGCCGGGATGTGGCCCGCGGGCCGGCTCATGTAGTCTGCCACAGTTATACCTAAAGTATAATTTTTTTTAGGGTTTAGGTTTTTAGGGTGTCTAGGTTTGATAAGGTTTAGGGCTTTTGGCTTATGGTTTTTCTGGTTTAGGGTTCTCAGGGTTTAAGGTTTTTCGGGTTTAGGGTTCTTAGGGGTAAGGGTTTTTAGGGTTAAGAGTTCTTAGGGTTCAGGGCTTAGGGTTTAGGGTCCTTAGGGTTTAGTGTTCTTAGGGCCTAGGGTTTCGGGTGTTTAGGATTTTTGGGGCTTTGCGCGTTTAGGTTTTGGGCGTTGTTAGGGTTTTGGGTTCTTAGGGTTTAGGGTTTTTAGGGTTTAGGGTTTTTAGGGTTTAGGGTTTTTAGGGTTTGTGGTGTTTAGGGTTTGTGGTTTTTAGGGTTTAGGGTTTTTTTAGGGTTTAGGTCCTAAGTTTCCGGCAAATGTTTGGGGTGAGGGTGTGGCGCACCCAAACCCAGAACCTTGTATCTTACACCCGGTGATATCCTTGAATGGTCTTTGCCCGTATGCCCTTGATATTTCTATGTGTATATATATTTGCATATATATATAAATATATGCATACATATATATATATATGTACATATATGATCCCTATGTATGTAGGATCCCTCTATATCCCGACATCTCAGTCTGAGCAAGGCTGCTGTTGGCCGAAAAGACAAAGACGCAGCGTGAAGTGATGTAGCTGCCCCGAAAGCACCCAGGAGCAAGCTACGTACCCTGATCAAGCAACATAAAAGAACATAGCGGGGGGGGAAGGTAGGAAAACGAAAAGAACTTGAAAAGAACTTGCTAGCGCTCATCCCCCCCCCCTAATAGATAAAAGAACTTGAGAAGCACGTGCATTAGGGTACCCCCCCGCCCCCTGCAGTTCTTTTTAGTGGACCCCCTATGCATGCTTCCTACGTCGGGTCAACCAGCAGGTCCTCCACTGTACTCGGAAGCTTCATCTGCAAGCTAGTCGAGGTCTGACCGGTTCTTGCGGGCCTTTCACGGCTGTGCTTTCCAATCCATCTCTACACGGCCTGGGCGGTGCTGTCGCCTGGTGCTCTCATACTCGTCATCATCCTGTGAACATTGATTGTCAGGATGGCGCGAAGCACAGACTGAAAGCGAAACCGATCATGTTGCTGGCGCTTGCTCAGAGCGGCCTGCTTCAAAGAGTCGAACATCTTCAGAAGCTCGTTCGTTCGCTGCTCTATAATTGCCAAGTACCTACGGAAGTTGCTGAGTTGCAGCTTTGCTGGAAGAGTGACTTTCTAGCCATGTTTCAGTTGCCAGGGGCCGTACACCATCATGTTGGCCTCTGAGATGCCGCTCCCACAGCCGCAGGGCAGATCCTATGCATTGCCGTGCTTAAAGTACTTACCATTACCTGCTTACATCTGCTTACCATGCTTGGCCTCGGCTGTGCAGCCAAGCCGGCGGAAAATCGACTCAATGCAGGTCCTGCATACTGGACATTCCACTGGTCGCCATTTACTGCATCAAATGGCAGCTAAGGTGGCTGTAGCCTGATGTGGGAGAGGGTCTGCTGCGACTCCTCTGGCGAAGTTCATTGTGCCGCTTGCAGGGCAAACGGCGGATAACACAACTGACTCGCATGACTTGCAGGTGGTGACACAAGCTTGGGCTCCTGGTGCTTCACCTCATAGGTGATAGCTTTACGGTCAATGTCGTTCCATTTTTCCTCCAAACTTTCGAGGATCTTTGCCTGAAAGCGTAATCACGCAGCGTCCACTGAAATTATCAAGGTGCGCTGGCATGGTAGAGATGCTCAACGCGATTGCGTGAGATCTATGAGTTGTTCCGCCACAAATACCACATGCTACGATCGCTGTTTCGCGCATCTGCACTGAATGATTGTACAGCATGCTGCGGACGCGCCAGTTGGATAAATGGATCTACGTGCCGCACTAGAAACACATATGCAGACACACAGGCTTGTGACTAAAGGAGCACAGCTCAACCATGAGCACGTTACTGTGGGATTGTATGATTTTCTGCAAGCGGTTGCAAGCATCTGGAAACACACGCCTTCCTGTACTCTTTGGTAGTATTGGCCATTGATGCCGTTGACTTGTCTAAACCCCACCGAAGCCGTTTGCGAGCCTTTGCCAACAATGGCACAAAAGCTTGGGGTTAAATAGCGGCCGGGAAAAAATTAAAAAATTATTGTGCAATATCAGAATAAACAAACAAGGCCCCCAAAGCTTCAACAACAGCAACCAAGAACAAAAACAACAACCGAAAGCAACACACACAGCAACAACAAAAATCAACAGCTACAGCCAACTAACAACAAAAACAACAACAAAAAGCAACAACCACAGCAGCAACAACAAC